ATATTAACTTCTCCTTTATTGAACTGTTGTGTAAAAGCAGCCCAGTCTCACACCCAAGGCGTCATCTAACTGACGCTTTTGACCATGTTTGGCCATGCGTCAATATGCCGACGCACAGGGTACCCCTTGAGCGTCAATATGAGACGTGCCTCCTAGTGGTCTAATCCTAACCCTACCCCAGACCTAAACCTACCCATAACGGAAGCGTCATCTAACTGACGCTAAAGGGTGCGCGGCATTTGATGACGCCCGAGGATGAGCGTCTCATGTTGACGTTTGGGGGGTGGTGTGTGCGTCGGCATGTTGACGCATGGTCAGAAGCGTCAGTTAGATGACGCCTTGGGATGAGACTGTGTTGGTAAAAGCACTAGCAAGAGTGTTGTTGGCCTGAATATCAGTAAGGTATTGAGTTCACATAGTTTACTTATGATAAGTGACCCAGAAATAGTGCAAAATCAGTGATATTTTCTTCTGAAACCTTAAATAAGATTTTAAATAGTTTTTTTTAATGTGATCTCAGACTTTAGACTCCACCGTACATAATGCAATGATTTCTTTAAGTGAAACACTTTGTTGTCTTGTGATGAAACTGCTAAAGCATATGTCTTGTGTCATTTTTATTTTATTTTATTGCAATAATGTGAGTTGTTTTGCTCAGAGGTTGCACACGTTCCAGTAAGGACTTAATGCTTCATCTTCACATCGTTCCCCGCTGTGCCACAGTACACAATGCTGCCCCTCATCAGATTAGTGTGTGCTGGAGCTGCCGCCCGCCCATCCGCCCCCAGTTTCCCCCGATCTGACCCCGTTCCATCTCTCACAGGGAAAGCAGGACTCCCATGTGACTCCTTTCTCTCATTTTCCTAACAGTAATCAATGAGCATGCAAAGTGGACGCCTCCCAGCTTTTAGTCACTTCACCAAAAGCTCTGTTCATTTAGGGTTTATTTCGAGCCTCAATGACAACCGACTGCAATCATGGTTCTCTGAAAAACGAATTAAGCTTCTCGCTTGAGTCCTGATGGGGATCTCTGGCAAATGCAGTTTCTAAGCGTTAGCCTGAAGCAAGATATTCCATTTTTTTATGGTTTAATCTCATATTGCAGTTTAAAAGCTTGTAAACCATGTGTCCACCACAATATCACACTATTTGTTTTAAAACAGCTGCATCCTCTGTGTTAGGTGTGTCAAGAGCGGAAGGCGGTGCACATGATTGGCAAGATTTTCCTCAGAGGGAATCTGTCCTTGCTTTTTGCTATTCTGTTTCATTCTCTTTGAAGTGTGTCTCTGGTCATTGAACATGATGTATCTGATCTCAGAAGCCAATTGCAGAGAAGTTTTTCAATAGCTTTCAAGTAGGAGAGCGGGATTGCTTTAGCTATAACTACCAGTTCTGGTAGCGCTCTTATTAGGGAACTTGGTTTGAGTTCGAGAAAATAACCGAATGGGCTCGTGGAGTACATGGCCTGGGGCCCCAGACTCCAAGGGGCCCGCAGCAGTGAGCATCCATATGAACTGAACTGGAGCCCAATGTGTAATCAGGGGCACCTGGACTTGAACAATTCATAATCACAAACAGCATGCATCAAACAACTTGAACAAAATCACAACAGGATCCTTTCATCATTTGCATAATTTTCACACATCCTCCTTATTAACCTGCTCTAATGCTGTGACAAGACGACTAACCAAATGATTATCAATTTTTGTTGTGTCGATTATTGATTATTACTTATTACAAAAATAATTGATATAGTAGTTTTGACTTTTAGTTTTATGATAATAACCCTGAAAATATCCCTAATTCATGCTATCGGTCCTGATCTGTTGTCTATTATCAACAAATGTCTTCACACCGGGGTCGTCCCCAACAGCCTGAAACATGCTTAGGTTTTGCCTCGACTTAAAAAATCTAATCTGGATTCGACAATTCTGAGTAACTTCCGCCCAATTTCAAATTTACCCTTTATCTCGAAAATTCTAGAAAAAGTGGTTTTGAGTAAACTATAGTCTTTCTTGAATGATAGTCATATTCATGAGAAATTTCAGTCTGGTTTTAAAATATCGTCACAGTACTGAATCTGCACTTTTAAGAGTCATGAATGATATATTGCTTACCACCGATACCGGGCAATCTGTGGCTTTGGTCTTGTTAGATCTTAGCTCTGCTTTTGACCTGGTCGATCACAATATTCTCATTTCTCGTCTTGTTTCGGGGTACGGTGCTACAATGGTTCCGCTCATATTTTACTAATAGGAGTTACTCAGTTCGTATCGGGCAACAGTGTTTGTCCGAAATGAAATTGGGGTCTGGCGTTCCTCAGGGTTCTATTCTTGGCCCGGAACTGTTTAATCTATATATGTTCCCCTTGGGTTCTATTTTATCTAGACATGGGGTTTCTTTCCATCTGTATGCCGATAACACTCAAATGTACTTGCCTTTGAAGCGTGATGACAAGTTTGCTTTAAAGCCAATACTGGACTGCCTGGACGAACTGAAACTCTGGCTTGCTAGTAACTTCTTGAGTCTTAATGAGAGCAAAACCGAAATTATCTTGTTTGGCTCCAATGATCGTAGTATTCATGATTTTGATCTCCAAACGTTGTTACCATACAGCACCACCTGTGTTCGGAATTTGGGGGTCTGGTTTGATAACAACCTTAAATATGATGTCCTGTTTTTATCATCTCCATCTTTTAGCTAAGGTTAAGCCCTTCTTGTCTGCAAAGCACTTTGAGATTGCCATGCATGCATTTGTAACATCCAGATTGGACTATTGTAACTCCTTATATATTGGTGCCCCTAAGAAATGCATCACTCGTTTACAATTAGTCCAAAATGCAGCAGCACGCCTTCTCAAAGGGAAGCGTAAATTTGAACACATTACACCAGTTTTGATCTCGCTTCACTGGCTACCGATTCAATTTAGAATTGATTTTAAAGTTTTGTTATTTGTTTTTAAGTCATTGCAGAACCAGTCTCCACAGTACTTATCTGAATTACTTCATCCGCCCACACAGTCGATCACTCAGATCGGGGGACTCTAACTTACTATCTGTCCCTCGAACTAGACTAAAAAATGGGGTGATCGCGTTTTTGCAGCCATTGGACCTAAGCTATGGAATAGCCAACCGGCTTACATCAGATCTGCCCAAACTTTGTCGATTTTTAAATCTACTTTGAAAACGCATTTTTTCTCAATAGCTTTTAATATATCTTGATGTGTGTGTTTTATGTTTATATTTTTATTTAAATTGTTTGTCTTTTTGGCCTTGTTAAGCACTTTGGTCAACGCCAGTTGTTTTTAAATGTGCTATACAAATTGTATTGTATTGTATTGTATTGTATTGTATTGTAATATACCTTTTTTATATACCTGTGGCTTTTGTGCCACAGGGTCTTGTTGTCCTTTGTTCCAGCCCTCAACTGAGATTTTACATGAGTGCACTGTAAATAGAATCCTGTACATAGTGATGATGAGTTAACATCACAATACTGTTAAGATTTGGAACAATAAGGATATGATTGTTTGCCAAATAAGGAGAAACAAGCAACATAATAAATGAATCATTCTTATTTGGCCCAGACTTATCAGCTTTGGCATATAGCCTAATCTTTGATTTTAAACATGATATGAACTGAGATGTAAACGCTATGGACATTTCATTACATAATTAGGGTGGCATTAACATATAAATTACATTTAAATGAGGATAATCAAATTTAGACTTTAAAACCCCAGTTATCCTTGTCATCTTATGCAGCCTTTGACTGATCTAGTTAATTTTACATCATCAGATTGGGGGAAGGAAAAAATGAATATTGCATGTATTTAATGGCCTTTGGATGACAAACTCACAGCCAGGGTTGCTTTCCAGGCCTTTGCAGGACCGAGGACAGCGGCAAGAGTTCAGGTCTGCAGTGTCGTCACAACACTGAAAAACATGTGCTTCTAATCAACAAACAGTTGCATCGTTCCATCTGGTAATTGGCTATTAAATATTCCGAGATTTTAACAGTTGAACGTTTTTGTAAGTTCATTTCATAAACACGGGTTCAAAAACTTTATTAAAACGTCTCACATTAATGTCTTTGTACACTGAAACAATTTCAGGAAAGTGTCTGTGTCATATCTAAGATTTTTTGATCCAGTTGTGCAGTATTTTGAACATGTACTCCTATGAATTATACATAATTCAAGTGGACCGCCACATTATGTGTGGTCTTTAAAGGAGTTTTCACATTTGACCTGGTCACCTGCCCGTGTTTTTTAGGAGGAAATAAACATACTGTATATTGTAAGTTAAAATCTTAAATATGAATACACTACATTCCAAAATTTGTCCACAAAGAGCAAGAGAAATGCTTGGAGATCCTGTAAAACTATTTGCAAAGCACATAGACAAACTCAAACAAACACAGACGATATATATGGGTCAATGACATGACGCTCATTTTTGAGGTACTTCATCAAAGATACAACAAGAAAGCAATTTATACTTAAATACACTTTTTCTATGATGAAATGTTTTTGATTACTAAAATAAGTCACATTGTGTGGCATAAAGAAAAAAATGTCACGGTAGTGTAACTAGCTGGAGATTGTAAAATGGGCTTACATTTTTGTAAAAAAGAAAAGTTGGCATTCATTATATCTTTCACTACAAAACAAGCAGTAAAGCAATTTGGTTTAAAATATTATTAATATTTGAAGAAAGTCCACCATCAAAATCATTGTGACTAACAAGCAGAAAGCCATTTTGTTTTCATGTGACAAGAAAACTATAAAACCATATTACTGTGTGTGTGTTTTTTAAATGCTTGTTATAAAAAGGGCATGTTTTGTTCAGCCATAGAAAACTTATTTATATTCATGAATCACAATTCATGATATGATAATAAAATATTGTTTGAAAACTGGTGAAGGAAAGAATTTAAGACATTAAGGCAGATGTGTTATACTATATTGTATTATATTATAGCCAATTATATGTATTATATTTACAAAAGATTGCCCCTCTGACTCTTATTTGTCACTGACCCATATACATGTGCATTTACGTGCGTGTAGAATGCTGACACATTATCTTCTTAAACGCTTTCCTAAAGTCTCTGTTGAAAATTGTATAAATAATGGGGTTCACAGAGCTGTTGCAGTAACCAATCCAGAAAAAGAGATTGAATAGAGAATCCGGTATTGTGCAACTTTCTCGACATATTGCATGAAGGCTGTACGTGAAGAAGAATGGAAACCAGCAGAGCACGAACACCCCCATGACCACAGCCAGCACGAAGGTAAAGCGCTTCTCTCGCATCTGTGCCAGTTTGGACTTGGACAAAGACAGCTGACGCGCGGTCGGCTCCTGCTCGAGCTCCGACCCGCGGCTACAAGCCCATGACAGCCGTCCATTTTGCTTTGGGCACGCTTGTGCACCCTCCACCTTTCTGCTCTTGGCGAAGCGCGAGTTCCTCTGTCTGTTGGAGATGCTGCTCTCCTCCAGATCGATGTCGTCGAGCTCGCCTTTGCGCTCTCGACTGCCCGAGCTGTGGCTACTGGGGCTCTCCGTCTCTGACTTGCCTTTACGCACGAAGCAGGTCTCGGATTGCGACGGTTGTCGCTCCATTCCGTTCTTGGCCACGAACACAGTGGACGCACGCTGTTTGGCCACCCTGTAGATCTTGCAGTACACCAAAATCATGATGAGACAAGGGGCAAAGAACGACACCATGCAAGAGGAAAGGATGTACCAGGTCTCGTTGTTCAGCAAGCACTCCAGCTCATCGTGTTTGGTCATGAGAAGCGGCGGGAAGGAAATCACCGCAGAAATGATCCACACCACCGTGATCATGAACTTTATTCTCCGCGGGGTTCTCTTTAGGTTGTAGCTGACCGCTTTGGTGACTGACCAGTACCGGTCCAAACTTATGGCGCAGAGGTGGACAATGGACGAAGTGCAGAAGAGCACGTCCAGAGCCAGGTAGAAAGCACACCAGGTGCTTCCAAAGAACCAGTAGCCCATCACCTCATTGGCTAGGGAGAATGGAATGACCAAAGTGGCCACCAAAATATCAGCAGACGCCAAAGAGACCAGAAAGAGGTTCTGTGGCGCACGCAGCGCGCGGCTGGTGAAAACGGCCACCACGACTAATACGTTCCCCACTATGGTTACCAAGATGATCACGGTAACCACGAGAACAATGAGCATCGCCACGCACTGTGAATGCGGCGGGGGTCTCGGCACGGACGTGCTATTAGTATCCGCGGATGAGTTCGGCGAAGTGAAGGTGATGGTGGTTAAATCCATTTTGAGGACCCTTGGCGCTGATCCCCCATTTCCAGGCGTATTCTCATCCAAGACGCGCTTCGACTTCAAACTTGTAGCATCCAATCTGAAGCGCTGCGCAATCCGCCAAACACTCCACGCCAGACGTATCATACCAAAGATTGTGTGCTAACTTTTAAAACTCCCCGATGATTTGGATATATTTTATCTGTTTTTGCTGCCTTTTTGACGGGGCAGTAGTGAACCACACTGAGCCAAGACATGTTTTGTTTCCCAAAGAAGCGCGCGCCGACACAGGCGGATTAAGTCTTCGGTGCGCTCCAGTGTGTCGCGGCGCTGAACATTTATGCGAGTGTTTGTGCCCGTCTCTCTCTCTCTCTCTCTCTCTCTCTCTCTCTCTCTCTCTCTCTCTCTCTCTCTCTCTCTCTCTCTCTCTCTCTCTCTCTCTCTCTCTCTCTCTCTCTCTCTCTCTCTCTCTCTTCATGACACGGGGGTGTTCTGTTTGTGCTGTTAAACTACACAAGCTTTCGACGTTTGATTAATTAGCAATCAAGCCTTTTAAAATCCATTAGGTAGTCGCACGTTATAATAACTTTCGTTAATAAGTCATGAGTGTGCATTGATATTAATCAAAGTTCGATTCCATTACCCAATAATGAATTATATATATAATTATAAAGAATCATATAATACTATTTATGTAATAGCCTACTACAGTTTATGTTAAAGAACGGGCAGCTGTTATAAGACTTTTATTAAGATGATAATAATAATAATACATTAATAATAATAATATTTTAGCGATGTTTTAACCTACAGTTAACCAATTAACAGCTTTTTATTGTTGCATTAATTAATTATAGCATTTTTCACAAAAATGGATGATGTCATCACGCTTATACTATGACCACGATGATTGGCTAACAAATATAATAGAATATTGTGATCAATATTGTAGAACAAGTTATCAAGTTGGCTAAGTGTGACTAATTAAACAAGTATATGTTCAGATAATTGTCAGCCTCTTACATGTCTGCATCTCAAGAGATTGCAGAATTCAAGCAACAAATTATGTTTTATAAACAAAGTTCGGGAGGAGTTCAACTTATCTATCAAATCAGCTTGAGAGGAGGCCTCACTCTCGGCTGGTTCCTATTCCAAGCCGGGGATACGGGGGAGTACTCTGGGTTTGGGCTAAATTCAGAGCAAGGAGCCCTCGATCCCCTCGGACAGCACGGCAAATAGGCTTATTTTACTCTTTTACTCAATCCGATCATTTGTAAGTTTGAACTCGTGAAACAACTGCCAGGTAATCAGACATTATTTACTCTATTTATTTATTTATTTATATATTAAAGATTTATTGATCGTGTTTTGCCTTTTTATTATGATAGGACAGTGAGTAGACAGGAAGCTGGGTGGAACAGAGACAAGGTTTGGGAAAGGTCCATGATCCGGAACTCGAACTCGAACCATCAGGGCCGACGATATTTTCATGTTTTATTCCCCATCATTCAATATTGCATTGCATTAAATCTATAAATCAAAAAAATTTAATTGCATATATGAAGAAAAGGCTCTATCGCCCATTGCCTCAATGGTGTAGCGGCTAGCCTACAGTGTGGATTACTGAGGCGGATTGCCTGCAACAGCCATTAGTATTGTTTGTGATTTTGTCTTAGTGACTTAGAAATCCTCTTGACTACTCCTATAACTTTACAGATTTAGGAGCTGATTTTAGTGCTAAAAAGCTTTGAAAAATACTCTTAGAGCAAAAAATTAGGAGTCCTAAAATTAGGACTTACATGCCCATTAATTATTTTTAAGAGTTTCTCCTAAATTGGCAAGTTAATAAGGCTACCTTTAGCCTTAAGATGTTTTGTGAATACGGCCCCTGGTTGTTAACTTGCCATGCAATTATTAAGCCGGTAATTCTAATGAATAGTAATCGAAAGTGGTGTACAGAGATTCATTGACTGCTATAGCAAATTAGCATTTAAGATGTCAGTATCCAACTAATAACACCCCTGGACTTTTGCTATTGCTAATCAAACTAAAATTAAAATGGTTTTATATATAACACCTTTTTTTGGGGGGGTAAAAGCATAATTCATGAGTAACATTGCTGAGAAATGTAGTCAGCACTGAGGAATAGAGAATTTTGGTTCAGTGCCAAAATGAGAGTGTTTGCAGAGCATGGTGCTGAATTAATAAAGTGCATAAAACTAGAAGATGAAAATAACAAGGGCTTCTTGTGTTTAACAGCAGTTTGCATTTACTTAAATAATTCTATTTTTTTTTCAACATCTCCAAAAGTCTTTTTGAAACCCAGATTTTCAATGTCGTCTCAGAGTTTTGGGCCCAAAGTTATTTTCAGGTCAGATGTTTCCAGCGAGAGAGAAAAAAACGCTTTCGAAGTATTGCATTGAGGGGCTGGCGATGGTAGTATGTTTTCTTCCCTGAAAGAGGTGCTGTCAGTGTATACACTGCATGAATGCAAAATGTAAATGAAAACTGAAAGTTTGACTCAACTTTCCATTTGATGAGTGAAATAAAACAGTCTGGGGAGAACGGATTTCAATTGTGTGCATGTTATTAAAAATTACACCAAATCTCTGATATGGAAAGCTCTAGGCAACACATCACTCAACTCAAAATTGATTTCAGTAGAGTTTGACATAAACATGTTTGCAAGCTAAATGCAAAATAATAGTAAGCATAACAGCTCGTAAAATAAGTTTACAATTAAATTAACATTAAACATATTTATAGTCAATATTTCTCTCACTTTTACTGAACTCTTCATGATGCATTCTGCGATGGCCTTCTCTGTGAAGAATATATTTAATGCCACCTTTGAATGTGGCTAGAATATGAATCTTAACCCTGTAACGCCTGATATGCATGCTGTAAGAAATAACAGTCAGAAAAAAAACTTTTTTTTCAGAACATTGACAATTTGTATATGTTTAATACATCATAATTGATATATCATGCTTTTATGGCTCATATAGTATGATATGAGAATATGGAGCTCATAGTCGAGGAGGAAAAAGCAAGATGAAATTCTGATAGCTTGTAATGTTAAAGTGTCCCTATTGTAATCTGTAATATAGCTGTCTGTGAAAGTAAACAGTCTGCAAAGTTAAGTCGAAAGAGCACAATAAATAAAGTTATTGTCTCTCAAAATAAATAATTGACTCTGAACCGCCCAAACGAGTCGTCAGGAATTCGAATCCCAATCAGTTACGGCTACACGTCACTAGCTAACACATTTGCATAATGCCCGCCAATGTTCTACGTTGTACGCTAGTGTCTCGAACAACTTGACCCGTCCTTCACAAAACGCTTGCTCTTGAAAGATGGGTCAATACCCAGTATATTTGGACCAGCTTGCTCCTCAGAATCACAACCTGTAAGTATGATTCATTATTGATGTATATAGTTTCTACCGGGTGTTCAAAAACAGTTTTGTGTTTTATATTGTGTAGTCTTCGGCTAACAGGCTAACTTACATTATTACTGTCTTACTGAAATAGTTAATGCTAATCAGCTGTGTACCCACTATTACCTAAAATTTTGTCTATTAATGCAATGTCCGTCGTTCTTATTACTTTGAGTAATGATGAAGGATTGAGCAATATTTATTTTACAAACTTTAACGTTACATCAGTCATTCATGTTATTGCTCTGCTAACGTATGCGCTGTTATTGATACAGTTCCGCGTGTGCACTGCAATAAATAAGAAATATACACATCGGTTTGTTGATGGACATACACTTGTAATGCTGATGGGGAGGAATTACAGCTGTACATCTCATAATGTACCTCAAATGAGTAGCGTATCAATGAGAAACATCCTGCTCAAGTCATCCTTGCGATGGAGGTTTGGGTTGAATAACTAGTTCTTCCAATGTTTCATCATCGGACTTGAGCTCGGATTGATATGGTAAAATCAACGCCAATGTTACTGTCTTACAGTGTATATAATCATTGAGTTTTAGGAAGCCTCCGGAGCTGAAGTTCAGTTATGGAAATGGGCATTTAGTTTCCGACAAGCGCTGTAAGAGGTAGACCAATCACAACAGACTGGGCCATCTGGCCAATCAGAGCAGAGCAGGCTCGTGGAAAGGAGGGATTTAGAGAGACTGAATCATTGGATAAGTCATTTGAGAATCATTGAAAAATGTGGTGATGTGCAATGAGAAAATTAAAGTTTTTTTTTTTTTACCTATGATGCATGTAAACCTGTTGTAGGAGACCTCCAAAACAAAATTAGGAACCGTAGCATAATAGGGGCACTTTAATCAATACGATTTTTATAGCAGATACTTACATAAAATAAGATCTGTCATGACAACTCTCTTAGAGATATGGCAATGTTAAAGGGTTAGTTCACCCAAAAATGAAAATTCTGTCAGTATTTACTCACCCTCATGTTGTTCCAACCCCGTAAGACCTTCGTTCATCTTCGGAACACGAATTAAGATATTTTTGATGAAATCTGACAGCTGGATCTGTCATTGGATTCATTTTTGGGTGAACTAACCCTTTAATGAATTTGCTCTTGGCGGAATAGATCTACGCTACTCCTTAAGCAGAGCAAGTACAGAGACTTGCTACTGCCAATACATTCACATACATTGCTGTGAGCATGTAAGACTTGCTGCTGTAGCACATATAACATTCAGTACATGAAATACCCCTCGTAGCAGATACAGGTGGAGCTGGGGAAGGTGGAGGGTTTCTGAAAGCGCGCTGCACACTGCTAACAGCAACACTACCAGTATTTGAATGTTGAGGCACAGCTCATTGGCCACTGATGCAACAGCAACCAATCAGCTGTGCTATGTAGATGACGATGCGATTACTACCAAATAAGTTAAGGACCTATCAGCCTGCACCATCTAGAGTTTCATGCCAGAACTTTGTATTTGTCACCATATATCTGTAAGGGAATTCCAGACTCAGAGACAATAATATGGTGAGATAACACAGGTTTATAAGGCAGTTTTGCAGGTAATGGCATTTCAGGTGAGTAAATGGTCATTTCAAGTTGCAGATAAGAGACTGCACACTGCAATAAAGACCCTGGTGACTTCACGACAATAGGCTTGTTCGACTTCATGCAGCGCTGCGCAGACCGATTGGCGGCTGACTAGAAGCAGTGCATGCCGGTTAGAAATTTTGTCCGACTTGAAAAAGCGGCGACACCACGTCACTGTGACGTATGGCATCAAAGTACCTCAAGGGCGATTCGAGAACAGACGACTGACTCAGTCAGCGGGGCTTCTCAAAAACGGCTTGAGCCG